GGATTAAATGATACAGAATCAAATTATTATATGTGTAGTATTATATTATGCTATCATTTGTATTACGTTAAAACGACACTTTTCTACGAATCCAGTCAATAAACTCGAATTTGTGATTCAATTATTTTACATTGGTCATTTTATTGTATTTAATTGTTTATATTTGACAATATATGTATTTGTTCGCGAATCAAAACCGATTAAATAAAAATATGTCAAACGGATGTTAAAGAATAAATAAATAATATTGATAAAATAGATGTGAAAATATGTAGTAATCTGTGCATATGGAAAATGACAATATTGTTATTTTTCCAGAGATAAAAGTAAATAAAAAGAAATATGGTGGTAATGATTGAAATTAGATACAAAGTTGAAGCGTATGGGGAGCAAATGGTCGTCGTCATCCAGGAGGGATGTCAAGCAATATTAAGAAGAGCAACTGATATTCATTTGAAACGTAGAAACAGCTATGGTCTCGACTGTTAATTTCGTCCTTTGTCTTCAACAAGGGATTGCTGCATGAGTTGCTCTTTTGAGACATGGTCCAGGTCGAACTAGAGTTGGACCGGTTCTACTCGGCGACACATTATTGCTCCCTTACTCGCTCTCTCTCTCTCTCTCTCTCTCTCTCTCTCTTTCATTCACGAAACACAATGAAATTGTCCGTTTGCAGTTCTAAATTGCAATTGCTTGGCATACTCGAGAGAACCGTGGGAAAATTTTATCGAAACGATTGCCAAGATTGAATTTAATTTTCTCTGCGTTTTCGCGATGATCGCGGTTCTCCTATTTCGAGAAATTAACAAATAAAAAAGAAGAAAGTAATAGACAAGAGAGTAAAGTAAAATAATAGAAAAGGAATGAAATCAATCTAAACAACTAGCGCAAAACAATCATTTAAGCTCGTCTCATAGTTTGCTCACGAAAGCCTTTCAACTTAGCAGAATTGTTTTGTTCTTTTTTCTTTTTTTTTTTTTTAACCTTTTTCTCATCTTCGTTTTCTACAAGACTTCAACGTGTTGTACTATTACAGGCACAAAGAAGACAGGAACATAGATATACACGCACATGGGGCAGGACGAAAGTAATGGTAACTCGAATTGGTTGTCCTCACGCGACGTTGAATCCTGATGGACTAATTCCGGAAATGGAACCGCGATTACGCGAGCGCAGCCACATAATAACGCGAGCGGCGCGTTTGCGAAATCGAGCGTGACCTCCTCCGCCTCTCTATTTTAGACTCCCGTGACTCTCTGTCAAGTTCCCTCTCAACCCTTCTCAACCTCGTTTACACTATTCCCATTCCCTTTATTTATCCTTATTCTTTCTTCCTTTTTTTTACTCGCGTTTTGTTCGAATTAAGTAGAGAACGAAGGGACAGACGTAAAATCGATAATCGTTTTCAACAAAAACACTTTACCCGCTCATATTATTATTATTATTATTATTATTATTATTATTATTAATAAATAGGTATTCATATAACGGATCAAGAGATAACGAAGTTTAGATGTATAGTGTTTTAAATATTACAAAAATGTATGTCTGCTTAAATAAAAAAAAGACGCTGAACTTAGATTAAGTTGCTGAAGAAGTCCCAATAAAGGGACGAAACGTCAAATTAATCAAAACGAAGTTCTAGTTCTTTTGAATGTCCAAATTCCTTACGATACATATTTATTAATAATTTTATTTTTGGAGACGAGAGAAACAACTAATTGGATTATTATTATTATTATTATTTCAAGAATTACATATATTCAACAAACTATTGGCCAGGATGTGCCAAATAATTTAGTCTTTCTTTCGTTCGAAGTAAAAGTATTCTATCGTGAAAAAAAATTTCATGAAAAATATTTATTCGTTGATAGAAAAAAATCATATTCCATTTCAATTATTCCAAAGTCACATTTATTATTTCTTACAAATATCCTGTTTTTATTCTTATCTTTGAATTTACGTTACGATTGAAAAACTTTTAGTTAATAGTGTATACGTTTAACCTTATACTCTCGACCATTTTCCTTTCGGATTTGATTGTTCTCTCGAGAAATAAAATAGAAATGATTTGTCGACTTTCCATTTTACCACGAGCGAATGAGAAAGGGTGATCTTATCGTAGTCTCACGCACGACAGGCATCGCGAATGCCAAGTTTTACGGGCTAGTCGTGGTTTTACCTTTATTTTCTTTCTTTCTTTCCTCTTTCCTCTTTCCTCTTTCCTCTTTCTCTTTCTCTTTCTCGATACTTTCGAAAGTCACGTAACGGAAGGGAATTCGCATTATTTTCTTCCTTCTTCTTTCCTTCCTAGCTTCGCGTAGGATTACGTATGCCGACTTTTTTTTTTCTCCCTTCGTTATCGCCTTTCATAAGCAAGGAAGTCGAGAGAATGCGTGGACGAGATGGTAGGTAGATGGAAGAAAAAGTGAAGGAAAAAAAGAAAGGAGGGGTTGAGCTACCTTAGAAAAAAAAAAAATAAGGAAAAATATACATCAAGGAAAGAAATTTCGAAATGTAACGCTTAAAGATAACGCGTTCTCGTACGTACAACTAATGAAAGAAACGATACCGAACGAAATGACTTTTTTCTTTGGCTCGTTCTTTTTTCTTCTTCTTCTTCTTCTTCTTCTTTTAATCCCTTCTTCTCCATCCCTCCTCCTCCCCCCCCTCGCGCCTCCACACCCTACTACTACTTCATTCACAGGATACTTTTTCTTTCTTTATCATTTGCTACTTTTATTACAGAGCACTTTAAATTACAGCCTTTCCATCGACCATAAAACTCCGTTGCAAACGACTACCGTCTGTGAGTCTATTTCCACTTCTCCTTTTTCCTCTTTCTTTCTTTCTTTCTCTCTCTCTCTCTCTCTCTCTCTCTCTCTCTGGCAAAATATCTATCTTTTTTTTCTTTCCTTTTGCCTTATTTTTTCTCATCGATGTCGATACAATACCTAAGGATAAAGAAAAGAAAAGTTAGTATAAACTTCCGGGCTATCCATTAAGCTATATCGTTAATACTTCTCGAAGTATATCGTTGAATACTTGACAAGAAAGTCGACCATTATTAGCCAGTTCGATCGATCGATCGATCGATCGATCGAAAAATGAACGAAAAAAAAAAAGATTAATGTTTGAAAGGGTTGTGCGAAACTATTCTCAAAGTTCGGATTCCTCTGTTTCGATGAATCTGCTGAATCGAATTTGCGTAGACAAAATATGCATAATAAATTTTTATTTTCTCATAGAGAAAATAAACAAAAATAAAAAAGAAAGTCGATTTTAACGAACCTTGCTTTGGGATTCGTCCAATTTGACCTATTCCTCTGTATCTCTAATCCTTTTCCTTGCTTTTAGAAATTTCTCGTTGGTTATATCCGATGATGTAACACGAAGAATATCTCTCGCGATTTCTCTCGAGCGAATTTCAAATCGGCGAGTTTTAAGAGAGACAGAGAGAGAGAGAGAGATAGAGAAATACATTTCGCGAATACGAGTTTGAAAAGATATAAGTCCGTTTTGTTGGCGTACTACTCTGTAAAAAGAGAAAAGAATAAAAGAAACGAGTTGGAGAGAGAAAACGGAAGAAGAATAAGAATAAGAAGAAGAAGTAATAGAAGCGAGAAAGAAAGCCGACGCGCGTTTCTGTCAAAGGCTAAGTCTTCTTCGTCTCCTCTCGTGTCAGTGCATTTGTTTGCATATATGTATGTATATATGTATATATGAGTACTCTCGCGCGTATGTGTATATGTATATGTGTGTTAGTGGCCAGGGTGAAGAGAAAGAAAGCAAGAAAGAAAGAAAGAAAGAAAGAAAGAGAGGGAGAGTCTGATATGAATACCAAGAAGTGTAAAGGTAAGAGTGTAAAGGAGGGGAAAAGCATGGCACACGACCGCGAAATGGTTCAAAGAAACGCCGGAGTCACGAGTAAGCACAGTTGTCAGCGTCGTGCGCTTCGACAAAGGAGGAAATGACGGGGAAGGAAAAGAGTCGTTAGATAGGAGACTCTCTGCTTCTGCTGCTGCTACTGCTGTTGCTGGTGGTGCTGCTGCTGGTGGTGGTGGTGGTGGTGTTGGTGATGGTGGTGGTGGTGGTGGTGCTACTGCTGCTCCTGCTACTACTGCGTTGCTGCTACCTTTTAATGCCACAAGAGACGAGAGGAAAGGAGAACAGAACGACTATGCGAGCATCCTTTATCTCTGTCTCTCTTTTTATCTTTTTATTCTTTCTTTCTCTCTCTCTCTCTCTCTCTTTCTCTCTATCTTCACGCGAGCCAAGCCGTTTCTTCTATCTCAACGCTGGTAGGACGTGGCTCGATTTTTCCCTTGAGCGACGGTCTGCGCGTGCATTCTTTTTTCCATGCTGCTACTGCTGCTTCTGCTACTCCTCTTTCTCGTAGTCGTTCTATGTTAAATTTGTTTTTTCTTTTTTTTTTGTTTCTTTCTTATTCCCCTAAATATAATTAACCGCGTAACATTAGTATATCTTTATCGATCATTTTATCATCGATACAGTTTTTTATTTTCTTTAAGATTAATCTATAATATTACTAATTTCTAGATAAATTCAAAAAAAAGAAAATAGAAGAGAGATCGTACCACAGTAATATTTTTACGTTACTTTATTACCGATTATCTTTTAACTGAGGGGTATATATGTGATAGAAAGAGAATGAAAGAAAGGATATAGATAGGACGATGATACCTATCTCGTTTGCTTCGGCAAACAAAAGATCGTCCCTTATTCGTGCGTGTGCATAATCGTGTTCTTTCGCTTATCTATACTCCAACTATCTATCTACCTACTTAGCATATGAAAAACAGGAGCGAAAAACTGGATAAGGGGAATAAAAACAGTATAAAGGAAGGATGAAGAGAGAATGGAGCACGATGATGTAAGAAATTACGAGTAGAATGAAGATATGTATGTATATATATATATACACATACATACATACATACATACAGATAGATAGATAGACACAGACCCGGTGCACTTACCTCTTTGGGGTATTAGCGGCCAGGGATGTAACGGGCTGCCGGCAACCAGCCAGACACATGCCAGCAACACTCGGAACATTTTCACCCCCATCCACTTCGGACAGACGGAAACTTCTCTGCGTTCAAGTCCCTTTCCCTCGTGGCCACCCTCGTATACTCCGCCCTTTCCTCCTCCTCCTCCTCCTCCTTGTCCTCCTCCTTCAACCCTTTTCACGAGCGTTGTCTCCCACCGATGCTGTTCCGTTCTTCTTCCAACGCGCTGTAACAGAGTTTCGCTTCTCTTCTTCTTCTTATTCTTCTTCTCTTTCCTTCTCCTATCTACAGGAACAAGCTCCCTTTCAGAAGGTTTCTCGTAACCGCCCACTTTCTCCTTCTCTTTCTTCGCCACCTTCGTCGACGTCGTCGTCGTCGTTGTCTTCTTCGACCTCGTCGGTGTAGTTGTCGTTGTCCGGACGAAGAAGTAACCACTATTACTTCTGCTGATGTTGCTGTCGCTGCCGTTGTTGTTGTTGTTGCTGCTGCTGCTGCTGCTGCTATTATTACTATTTCAGGAGGCATACACGAGGAACGCGTTGAGATCGCGACGATCCGACGATCGTGCACGAACCACCGACTACTACTCGGCAAGCGGTAAAGCTGATTGTCCGATTAGTCATATCGTGCTTACTACGTATTTACTATACTTCAAACTAGTAATATTAAAGCTTCGATCGGTAGATATCATCGCTAACGGATATTAACTACTGCTAGCTTATCCGATGTGAAAACACCTTTCAACAAATCGAAATTTCTTTCGATCCTTCTTTAATTTTATTTTCCTTTGACGAATCAACAACAAAACTTCGCGTTCTCCGTCAATCCATTATTTATATTTTATTCATCAAATAAATATAATATATTTCTCCCTCGAAACACACTGTTCTCTGCTGTTCTTTCTTGTTACCTATATTCTCATAAGTCCTATCACACTCTCCGAAAACACACTCGCTCGTCCTGTAATCACTTGAGGACTCTCGTATAATTGTCTGCAGGTACGATAATCGGTCCGAACAGACCCGGACGTTTACTGCTATCCCGAGGATCAGAGCTACTCACGAGTAGGAACAGCAGCAACAGCAGCAGCAGCAGCGGCAGCAACAACGTTTCCGGTGCGATGGCGATCACACATAGTTGAGCACGCGTATATATATATATATATATATTCTCTCTCTCTCTCTCTCTCTCTCTCAACGTGCTATCCTCAGAGCATCGCCATTTCCGAGTCCTGTCACGGAAACGTCAGAGCGCCATGACGTGGTTTTACGTTGCTCTCCGTGCTCGAATTTCTACGAGCTCTAGTCGCGGTACCTATGTATTCCCTCCCCCCTCCACCAGCCTCCTCGATCCATCGTTTCTCTCGTCCACGGATTTTACCTTCGATCTTCTTGCTCATCGGGAACGGAGGAAGAGAGAGAGAGAGAGAATATTAGTGGTTGTGGTAGTAGTAGTAATAGTAGTAATAGTAACAATGACCACCACAAAATTGACGATCTCTACGTCATTTGTGGCGCATTTTAACGCGAATTCTTAAAAAACGTGACATGTTTTCTCCAAGAAATTCAAATGTTCTTCCTTATCGAATTTTTGGATTTGACAATCGTTATATTAGATATCCGTGTTCGATTTCATCTATCGTCATCGTCGTCGTCGTTCTCGTCGTCGTCGTCGTTGGTCAAGGAGAACGTATCCTCGTAGAAGGTAATCTCGTTCCTTGGGATCAGGAGCTACAACGACCACTATTACTCGGTGATCCCACGTTCCTGATTCATAGGTGCCCGTTAATTTCTCGTGGGATTCGCTTATTAAAGGCGAGACCTTAGGTATTATATATATATATACCTATATATATATACTTTCTCGTTTCTCTGTCGTCGAATCTTGTCAACGTATTCGAACCAAGACGAAATTACGTTCGAATCAACGGACTTCTGTTGCCACTAGCCAAAGATATCATTCGCGTCAAAGGGATTATTTGCCCTCGAGCTTCTTTTCCTCGTTCTTCGTTCGATTCTTGATACGTTTGTATTACAAAATCTTGCTTTTTAAAAGGACCAACACATCTTCCTTCCTTCCTTCCTTCCTCCCTCCCTCGTAGCAACAGCAACCCTTTTTTTCGTTCACGATGCCTGCCTGGTGTTCGGTGTGCTGTGGAGATAGAAATAAAAGATAAAGACAGAAAAAGAAGAGAGAGAGAGAGAGAGAGAGAAGAAATATTTGAACGAGAACAAAACGCATGTCTCGTACGCGACAGATTGAAATGCGTGTCGGACACGAGAACACGTAATCGTCTACGCGTCGAGCACTAACGAATTCTTCCCCCGACAAATTTTTGATCGTACGAATGTACTTTGACTTTTGTTTTTTCTATTATCTACCGCGATTTGAGTAATGAAAGAATAATTTTATCGAGTTTTTCGTTGAAAAAGTGTCGTCGAGGCGACACGAAAACGGAATATTGTTCGTTGATCTAAAATTGAGATCTAAATTTAACGTAAGGGTTAAATGGCAAACTTCCGGTTAAATTTTAGATGAAGAAAGAAAATAACTTGAATAGAATAGAGAAGGATAGGATGGGATAGGATAGGATAGGATAGGATAGATAGATGGATTGGAAACGATTTTGACGTACACGTCCGTCACTCGCGTTTTCATCTTTTTTCAAATGTTTCCCAACGGTATACCCTGACGCTTAGAATTACGTATGAGTCACGTATCGCGATGTGCCAGGATGCATTCGAGTTTTGCGCCCGATCGTTCGACCGATTGCGAGTGTCGGGAAAAAAGGAAGGGTGGAAAAAGGGACGAGAAAGAGCGATCGCACGACTGCAAAATCTACGATGTATTTTCTTAAAAAGTTTACTTGACCGAAAGGAAACATATCCGAGAAAGGAAAATTGTTCGTTCGACCGTATGTGAAATATCTAACGAGAAAATACGAATCGTGAGCCTCAAAGATAAAGCGTATATACAACTACTTTTAAACTTAAAAACCTTTTTTCTTTTTTTTTCTTTATTTCGCTATCGATTTCATAAAAAAAAGAAAAAAGAAAAAAAAACGAGAAAATGAAAGAAAGTAATACAAATTCGTATTCGTTCGGTTGGGGTATTGCGTATCTCGATGGAAAAAAACGAACGTTTTTGGAATTCGTAATGGTCGCATGATTTTACCTGCAAGCACGTAAACGACGAACGACTAATTCTTCGTATAATTTTATTTTCTTGTACGTGTTAAACGTTGAAAAATATTTGCGATTGGTCGATTTGTGTCAGAGTCGGCGGTGGTGGGTATCTATACGTAAAAGACAGATAGAGAGAAAGAGAGAGAAAGAGAGTTTTATTTATCATGCTAGCGTTGTTCGTGAGCATCGTCCCTCGAGCTAATTAATATCTCCGTTATGCAAATTAGGCACAGCAACGTTGGCTCTCGTTGTATAACAAAAGCCCTCTTTCCGATAATTCTCCATCGAATAACGATATCAACGTACACGACCAACCAACAATCCCCTTCTCCTCCCGGCAGGACCCATTCTAACCGTCGTCCGTTAAACGACGCGAGCCCGTAATCTACGAACACCGATTACGTATAACCTTCTCGTATCTCTCGGGTCTCCAATTAATACGAGCCCTGCTTACTCGCCCCCTCTATTCATTTTTATTAATTAGAAATTTTCGAGGGATGACGTTCGTTATCTCGATTATTTCGACCTTTTAATGCATGTATTACGCGCACTATAGTAAATATCAACGATTATAATATGTAATTTTATTTTTTTTTTATTTCTCGATATATAACTATCTCGTTTTTGCAAAATAAGAGAACATAGTTAAAAGTAGAATAAAGAAACGATTTGAAAAGCTGTCAAAAACACGTGTAAAAACGTATGAGCGATTACAGGGTAAAATCATCGTTCGTTTATCTTCGATGTTATACTCGTCTTCATTAAAAGACCGGGCCGATGTTGGGCCTCTCTTTCTCTTTCTCTTTCTCTCTCTCTCTCTCTCTCTCTCTCTCTCTCTCTCTCTCTCTCTCTCTCTCTC